CTAGTTAAGAGAATATAATTGTTTTTGCGTTGTAGCCAGTTAAATATCACTACGTTTGTTTTTTGGTTACGAATTCGAATAGATTTTGTATGTGTATAGTTGCCACTAACGGGATTGACGGACCGGAAACATCTGTACGGTTCGTGCGGAGTTTAGGAACAAAAAATGAAATCAAATGGCGGATCATTGTAAACCAAGAGTAATTCACACCGCCCGAGAGAAAAAAAATGAGAGAGAGAGACAGAGTAGGCTTGTTACAACGGAATACGATAGATAGAGTGTAAATTAATTTATTATATCGAACGAACGAATAAAATCGCGTTGCAAATGAAAACGAAAAAGATAATGGGACTGGAGCAGAACGATAGGCGAGAGGATCGAACGCGAGGAAACAAAAAGAAACGTAATAAAGATATAAGTCGAGAAATTTCAATCTACGTGATATCTCGAGAAAGAAAAGAAGAAACAAAAGATAAAAAAAAATCACCCTCCTCTCCTGCGTTCCTCTAAGCCCGTTTTTACATCCGGCACAGTTTTCACGTTGTCTGACTTAGATCGAGTCGAGGAACGATTAGCAGAAAGCTTTCTACCAAATATTGCGAGCTCTGGGCTCGAAGTGGCGGGCAGGTAGTTAGATAGAGTTAGAGGCGATCGTAGCTATTATTATAATATTACAATAATATGCTGTATTATTATAATTAATGATTACTATTATTGACGTCATCTAAAGTATGAAAGATTTTTACACTGTTGAGACTTGAAGTAAATAATATATTTAGTTTATTTTGGTACATCACGATTTGATGACAAGAGATAAAAGATGAAAAAAGTGGTATGAGCTATTTTTTAAGAGACCGATTATTACTCGATTTGAGTCCATGCATTAAGGGAGAAAAAAAAGAATAAGAGAGCGAGAGAACGAAAGAAAGAAAGAAAGATAGAAAGAAAGGGGCGAAAGGGAGAACCTATTTGCGAGTGTGTAAATTGTTTGCACAAGCGATTGTCACCATGACTGACAACAAAAATCACATGTGATTAAATAGTGAATTTTGAAGAATTTTACTAATAGACTTGTACTAAATAACTAATTATTATTGTGACGACCAAAACAAAAGAGCAGCATTTTTATAGTGCTGACCGAGCGGAAGAACGATGGTTCGGCCGACATAAAACGCCAGCTCCCGCAGATACGGAGCCGCACTGGAGAGCGGGCAGAGAGGAGAGAAAGAGAGTGAGGAAGATCAGAATGTAAGGGATAACGAGCGAAAGAAACGTGGAAAGATAGAAGGCGAATGAAAGTGCGAGAGCGAAAGATAAAAAGAAAAATGTGTGTAAAAAGAAAAAAAAAGTTGAATGACGGGAGAAAGGTAGAAGATAGAACGCGAGAATAAGAGAGAAAGGAAGAGAGTGAAAGTGAGAGAAAACAAGAGCGAATGCGTCGTAATCTATTGTATAAAACATGCGAAGAAAGAGGACACTGCGAGATGTTGTGTAGTTAGTGTTGACTATGAATATATAGGCTAGGTACCATTTTGGATAGGAAGTAATCAATTAAGTGATTAAGTTTAGGTAGATAGTTAGCTGATAGTTAGGATATATATACAACTGCCTCTCCTTGTTAAAAAAAGCAAAAAAAAAAAGAAGACACATCAGGCGAGGCACCGTTCAGCCTATGCACCTCGCACCCGTCAAGACTGACTGGCTATTCATATTAATAATAAATATATATTATTCTACAACATATTATCTACTGTAATATAAATAGTAAGGACTGCTTGCTGCGCACCGCGGGTCGGGTGCTTGGGCTGGCCGGGCGTGGTTTACGAAAAGAAACCAATCTCTTTTTGGAACATATGTTTCCAAGCAATGCTGCTTTCCGTAAGCTTTCTCTAGAATTTCTAGCGTAGCCTCTTTTTAGATTAGATCACAACTAGTAGTCGTAGGCTGATGATGTAGAAAGATGAGAATAAAAAGGAAAAAAACGTAGGATGTTTTTAAGTAACGAAACAAAAAAAAGTAATGTAATGTTAGTCGAACGTCGGCTTAAGCGAAAAAAAAAAAAAAAATGATAAGAAAAGCGAGTCCGAGTTGACTTTGATGATGCCCCGATATGTGACGCGCGTCATCGTACTTCGACTTGTACAGTCCTTAAATTCACCGAGGTTTTAAGTCATTGTTTTACATTGTTAAGCGAGATAGGTTTTTAGCTATAATGAGAGAGAGACGAACATTTTTCCATTTCTCCTCATGCTCCTTTTCTTTTTTTTTTTCTTTTTTTTTTAACTTTGACCCTCCCCGTATCTCTTCTGATCTGTTCTCCAAATTCCCCCACCCTCGCTCCATTCCTCGTTTTCATTTTTGCTCCCGTCGTCGCGTTTGAATTTCCTTTACGTCGCAAGATGAACACAGCACGACAAAACAACATGTGTAATTATCTAAAAACAATTACCATTACCGTCTGCTTAATTTTGTTTGTTTCTTCTCTCCACAATATAATTAATTGTTATGCGGTGTGTAATCAATGAAAATACATGAAAATAAAAATTCCGTAAATTTCAAGAAAAGAAAAAAGCAGTGAAAGAGATAGAGATGGAGAGAAAGAAAAGAAACAAAATGATGTTGGGGCATTAAGTTAGGCAGTTCGCATCCGTAAACGAGGATTAAGAAGGGAGGGGGAAAAAAATAAAAATGAACACATTAGGTTCTCGGATACTTTTAAGATGGCGAGGCATAGCACGTAATGAAATTCTTAGATTAAGGCAAGTGTGTCATAGCTAGTTAAGAATAGGGACTATTAGAAGTCGATAGGTGCTGTAATAAAAATGATGAAAAAAAGTAACAACAACAACAACAAAGTTTAACAACGGTCAGAATTAGATTTTTCATGAAACTCGAATAAGAACACAGGGCATACGCCACTAAAAGTGCCCTTAGTTTATTTTGGATCGTTTAAAAACGCTAGTCTTTGTGTGAGATAATGTGGGGGTTATAGATAGGGTCTTCTAAAAAAGAAAAAAAAAAAAATACGAAAAAAAGAAGAGAAAAACGAAAAATGAGAAAACACAAACAGTAAACAAAAAGAGAGAAAGAGAGAGAGAGAAAGAGAAAGCGAGAAAGAGAGCGCGCGAGAGAGAACGTGAGATATAAGTAGTGTACACGAATAAACATGTGAGATGCGAGAAAGTGCGAGACGAGTGTGTGGTGTGTAGGTTGTATGCATAATTTATAATGCGTACTTTAAAAAAACCATCTGCCTATGACACGACACAGACTGCAGAGACACACTGTTACTGTAAACTGCACACTGCGTGTGCACGCTCTGAACGTTACACACTTCTTACACTTTGTATGTGGAGCGTGCACCGAACAGTTTTTAGAGTTACTTACAAGTATGGTTTGGTATATTCAAAGTGAAAGAATCAAATTCTTAATTATTATCATCCCTTATTTTTGATCAATAAACGATCTGTTTTGGGGATTTATTCGAATAATTTTCTTTTCCTTTCCTAAGTTTTTATAATGGCAGGCCAATTATGAAAAGTCTTCAACAGAGAGTGAATCCCCAAATTCTAATTATATAATTTTTCTTCTTAGATGTTTTTCATTGTACTTCTCTTTCGTCTATATTAAATTTCGTTGAATTTCATAGAAATATCTATAGATTCATTTTCGTTCTTTTTCCTTTGTTGTGTCGAAGAGTGAACGAACATTTTTGCGAGGAACGAACAAACGAAATGTAAAGTCTGTAAAATAAACTTACTCTCGTACAAAATCAGTGACTGTATTTACACGTATTCCAACACTAAAAAAGATATGCCTTCTATCGAATCAAGTAACGATTATTGTATATGCCTTTTTCAAGGTTGGAAATAAAATCCTCAGATTGTTTTTTGATATTCTTTAGGACTGAAAAAGTGAGCTTAAAGAATTAAAAAAAGAAAAAATAGAAGAAAATTCAAGAAAAAAACAAAAACTACCACGTTTTCTTGATTGAACATCGGTTAACGAAATTATACTTTTACTAATATGTAGTAGTACAGCATGTGCAATAGACTGAACATTTGTCCTTTGTAAGTAATATTAAAACAATAAGTCCCCCACATTATCCCAACTAATTATGTAATAATACATCCAGCGTCCGCCTCTATATTAATCGACGATAGAATTGTTTTTTGTGAGGTAATAAGACTATGGAAAGTTGACGTTCGATTTTTGGTAATATAAAAGAACGTAACGAGTCTTTTTCTTAATATTTTTAACATCTTACACGCTGATGCAATTTGTACTATTTTGAGTAAATACTTTTGATTTGTGCGCAATAAAGATCATTCAAAATTATTAAAAAAAAAAAAAAAAAAAAAAAAAGGTACGACATAAATGAAATTTATGCGATAATGAAATTTAATGAAAACATTCGTGCAAATTTTCAATGTCATTATCATCGTGATAAAATAAAAAAAAAAAATTAACGCACGAAAGGTACTGGCAATGTATGAGAATGATTACTAGATCTCCTCTTTTGTCAATTAAGTGGTGGTTTTATAATAATGTAAAATAGAAGGGTAAAATTAAAGTGGAAAAAAAAAAAAAGAAGTGACACGCCGTAAAAAAGAACTCATTGAAATAAAAAAGTACGAATTTTGATTTGACGCTGAGAGGTTTTTCTTAGGCCATTCAATACTTTTTTGTTAGGATCGTATTTTGTCTCTTTAATTTCGTAGACGTATTTATTCATACGAAAATACTTGTAATTCCTTTGTAAACATCACCTCAATTTGCATTCATATATTTTATTTCAAGTTACGTTGTTGCAATTAAGAGTTCGATCCGATTCTTTCGATTATTTTACAGTGAATACATGATTTCGTGACTTAATACGTTTTATAATAACGATACATTAAATTTTCTATTTGATTTAGATGAGTACATTAATTTAGGGTATAATAAATATGATAAAAAAATCCTTATTCTTATTAATTTGCACTATACACAAGGTTCCACTTTTCTGTTACACATGAAACTTATAAAATAATGATTTATTATTAATGAACGATATGTTTCGATTTAAATATTCTTACAGTGTTATCAGCACCACCAGATACCATAAATTTGGGATTCGACCAATTACAACATAATACTTTATCTTCATGCCCAGAAAGATCAAATAATGGTGCCTTAGGACTGTAAAAAGGAACCTATATCATTATACAATGTTGAAAATGAACATTATGGAATTGGAAATCATCAAACCTTCTGGTATCCCACAATTTCATATCATTATCATATGCTCCTGAAATGAAAAGGTTTTCTTCTACTGGTGACCATCTCACAGATTGTACCCATTGTGTATGAGAAGTAAATATTGTTTTTACAAGTGTCCCCTCTAAAAACCGAATATAATTTCTATGTATTTCACAATGATTAGAAATTTATAAAAAAATTTTGATCGAAACCTGTAGATCTTGGATCGTATAATCTAACATGTCTGTCGGCTGACGCTGTTATAATTGTGCGGCTTAATGGAGAATAATCGAGATCGAAGAAACTTTTATTTCCAGTTAATTCGTGTTTAATTCCTCCTAGTTCTGAATCCCACACTTTTATCGTGTGATCCCATGAAGACGTTATAATTTCGGCTTTATCCGACCATACTACACCACTAATAGCTTCTTTGTGACCTTTCATTGTTCTTTTAGGTACCTTCATAATATAGTCATACATATGATAATAAATTATTTTTTCGTTGAAAAATATTTAATTTATGTTTAATTTATTTACCCTCGTTTTGCCATGTTCTGACTTTAATCTTTTTGAAGTGGATTCACCATCTTCATTTTCATCTTGATTAGCTAAAAATAGAAAAAAAGGTAAAATATGTTTTTATAAATGAAATATTTTCTGTTATTATGTAAAATATTCACCTGTAGACCATATTTTAAGCATTGTATCCCATGATCCAGTTGCCATCATTGTTTTGTCATAATTGATATTAACAGCTTCTAATCCACGTTCATGGCCTCTACATACATGAATACAATCTACAGAATTTTCCATAATATTCCAATCCCATATTATAGCTGTTTGATCTTGGGATGCACTGTAAATTATAAATAAATTTAAATAAAGTAATTATAAGACTTACTTGAAAATATTTAATTTTATTTTTCTTAGTTTTAGATAGTACCTAACAAAAGTAGCTGTGTCACTAGTCAAAGATATCCATGCTATTGCTTTAATAGGCGAAGTATGTCCAGGGATTACTAAATGATGTTTTCCTTTAGATGTCCATATGTGTAACGTATTATCATAACAACCACTTAAGATCCTATCAAAATATTATTTGATATAAAGTAATAATTTTTAAATAACTTATTTGAGTGATAAATAAATAATAAGAAAGTAACCATTTCTCACAAACAGCAACTGCAGATACCCAGTCATCATGTATAAGACAATCTTGAGGTTCTGGTGGTGGGTATTTTTCAACATATTCAACAGTTATAACTTCCTCTGTAGAAACATTTTTCTCTGCTAGGTGCTCAATCAATGAAGTACGTAAAAATTGTGAGTGTACCAAGAAATCAAACTCTATATCATTCTCTATATCGTTTGATTCTAAAATTAAAACAGGTTACCTTCTGAACGAATTTCAGGTACTCGAATTTACTAATTTGAAAATAAATCATACAATACCTTTTAAAAGTTCATTTACAAGAGTATTCAATTCATTTGGTACGATGGATATATGTACTGATAATGGAAAATCTGGAACAGCATATCTAAAAATTAAAAAAATTCATTTATTATATATATTAATATTTTTCATATAATAAAACTGTTACAAATTATATGAAGCAAATACAAAACATTAACCTCTAATTGCAGTTTACAAAAATTGGTTAGAATGAATACTTACTGTTCTTGCTTGGTAAGAAATTTTATTTGTACTTGTGGAGTACTATTATTTATATTTGTATTAGCCATTACAGTTTTTGTACAATTTCTATCTTATTATTACTTGAATTGAGAATTAATAAAATTACACGTGTACACTACATTTTAAACTAGCTTCTATCGACTGTAATAATCGATTACTTGGAATGTTTCAGAATTGATATATCGTACAATCGATACTCATCTATCGAATATTGTTTTACATGTTATCGAAAAATTAAATTTTTTATAAATATCGGTTTATTTGTCTAGTTCTAAAACTTTTGATGGAATTAAGAAGGTACTTTTTGATCATTTTTGATAGATTAGAAGGTGTAAAGTGAAGGTTTTTGTGACAATCTTGAATTAATGATGTTTTAATTCTTCAAAGTATATATCTTATATAATAAATAAAAATATAGGCTTTCATATATATCATAATCTAGAAGGTAAAAGTTAATAAGGTTATAGTTATAGATATTAACAAGTATGTGTATAAATAGCATTAATAAATATTAATATTAGATTTTTACATAAACGTTTTTAATTATTTAATATTAATTTTTAAATGTATATAATTGTTTTTTCAAATTTTTTGTCATAGTTGTTTCCTTTAGTATATGTAATAATTTTGTTATTTTTATTTATTTATCTTATCATTAAATTTTTTAAATTATAGAATACAAGTTATTTTATTCGTTTTATATTTCACGTAAGTAATACAAATATTTCAATTGTCTAAAAGCACACAATTTAGAAAAAACAATATAAAAGCAAATACAATAAGTGGGTTATAATTTGTAGAGAATTAATATCGATCAATAATTTGCAGGAGAAAGTAAGCGTTGGAATGTTCAAGCGAATAAGCAGTTTGATACATCACGGACTATTCTACTTCTGTTCCTGTCTTCTTGATGAAAGAAGAGGATGGGTGTCACGACTTATATTACTCCTGAGCTCAAGTTCCCTGCAACAAGTGTTTCTAATCGATACTTGGATAAAATTATAAGAATCCATTCCTACGACAGATAAGAGAAATACAATGTTTCTTCTATAATCGTAAAGTTATTATTTAAAGCTTTCTCCATCTATCGAGAAAAAATATCGCCATAGTAAAGATTACGTTAACAGTTAACATTAAACAATATAATTCTGTCTACGCGTACAGAAAATGGAGAATTTACATTACGATTTAAAAAATCCTTTAGAAATTTATTACATTTATTACATTATAATTGCTACGAATATGAGAAGAGATATTGATCTTATCTACAGAAACAATTAGTGATGAAACATTTATATAATTTATAATTTATTTTTATGCTAAATAATCTTAAGTTCATTTAACTTTCAGTAACTAATACTCTTATCTAATTGATATCCTTCTATTCTGTTTCAGCGCAGAACTGGTTGTATGTAAGAAACCCAATGTTCAGTTATTTTAATAGAGAAACGCAATTCGCGAATAACAGGTGCTTAACAACAAAGTAGGTGGAAAACAAGCGGAACAGAGCGGGAAATGCGCAGGCGTTTGTTCGCTCACGAACACATCTTGTAATTTGACATTATCTAGAGCAAAAATCTTTTTAAATTGAAAGTTTGCTGAAAGTTCTCGAACTATTTGAGATAGGCTATGCAGCAATATCGGTCTCTTGATAACATGCTACACGAGAGGCTCCGGCTGTTTCTCTATTATTGTAGGTATTGTTATTTCTTTCCTTCTATACTTCTTTCTCGCCCCTTTCTAGCGATGGGAACGACCTTATACTCTTCGATAAAGTAAATTATGTTTTTACATATTTGAAATAATTAATAAACATGTATTTAAGATTCATGATTTAAAGTGAATTTATAAATGATTTATAACTTTTGGGAAATAGTTTTTGATACTGTTGTATTCTAATTGATATACACGAAGATTTACAATTATCGTATAAAGAGCATATTTTTAATTGGAATCAACAAGCTAGTGTAAAACAATACTGCTTATAATATAATATCACAAACTAACATTATTTGAACACATGTTACTAATAATTATTTTATTATTTCATTTCAAATAAGAAATTCTGTAAGAAATTTCTTCATTAATTCCGCAAAAATTTCATAATTAATTCAAATATGTTTAAAACATTAATTTTTACTATTGTACTGAGTATAAGTTTAACAAATTTCCGTGGGTAATTATGGGATACATTTTCATTCCCATCCTATATTTTGATTTAATAGTTCTGCATATCATTCTAGATCGAAAAATACAAAACTATACATTTTCTTTCAATAATAACAATCCAATTCAGATTGAATTACAGCTGTGTTACAAACATCGCTTTATCACGATAATTTATATCACAGGAAGCATTCGCCGTAAGGAAAACTGATATTTTCAAGGTCCAGATATTATGAGGGTATTGGTCCCATCACTATTCACATCCTTGGTCGCCTGGCAGCCGGCATGTGCGCGGTGCAATCGATTCCGTGGCTAACGCATGCCCTGCTGCTCGTTCTTAGTGGAAGAGTACTCAGTCGGTTACACTGGTGCGGTACAGCAGGACGTGCAGAGGAAGAGATGCTCTAGAGGTGATTATCTCTATTCGTCGAACGAGCAGCCGTATCCCGTTTTCTTATTCTATACAACGCAGTAGATACACCACAAGGGTCGAAGGACCACAGCAAGGATGTATTAAGATTGAGAAGACGAACTAACCAGGTGTCACGCCCAGGTAAGCCGATGAAGGGTCACGTTTCTCGCCGCTATGAAGCGCCATACAGATTCGCAGGAGTAATGGGGGCGGAGGGGGAGTGAACGTGACTACAACCTGATGCTTCGACTATATAACTAGACGTGGTCGGTGGTTCGCAGAATCCTGAGATTTGCATAGAGGATTAGAGGAAATAGAAACTCTCTGATTCTGAATATTGAAGTTGAGAATTAAATAGTTGCATGCAATTAGTATTGAGAGGTATTAACTTGTTCCGTTTTAATTTGAAAGATAGACAAAAAATATTGTTGGAACGAAAGACAAAGGTTGTAAGAAAGAAATACAGAATAACTGTTATTAGATTATAGATATAGTAATTGCGATTGGTGTAATTACTTGGGGTACGATTAGGACGATGGTCGAGATTAAATTTTAAATCATTGTGCTTCAATAAGCTGTTTTCCGATAACAGTAATTTGTCTTTCTCTCTCTCTCTGATATCGTTTAGCTGTCGGAGTACACCATGATTGCGTAAACGTAGGTACCCATATCGTTACGCAAAGGTGTACCGCGCCCTTTATGAAGCGGTACAATACTTCTACATTATTCTAGTAGTTGATTAAATTGATATAGTAGTTGATTGTATAGAAAATTTTGATATAGTATGTTGTTATACTTTATTATAGGTTTACTGCGATCGACAAAATAGTTCCAAGCAGATGGGCGACTAGACTACTTCAACAAGTTGCCATTGTACCGTATTCCAAACAGCGTATACAATTTCTTATGGTGTAATATATATTCTAGATTATTTCCGACTAAAGAATTAAATTGTCGGCAATGAACACTTGGTGACTGCAATTTTAAATATTTTATTGCACATTTTTATAAATTTTACATTTTCAAATATGATTCTGATTTTACATTTATTAAGATAGTTAAAATAGTAACTACAAACATATTTATATGTTTGTTAAACATTTGGGAAAAACTACTTTGAATGTATAAATTCGTAGAAAGAAAGATATAGCTATAGAAAAATGTAATTACATATTCTCCCTTTCTATATATAGAACTTAATCTTCCACTTATTTTTTATCTCTCTCTTTCTCTCTCTCCCTCTTTCTCTCCCTTCCTTTTCTTTGCTTCATCTTATTAAAAATGAAGTTCCACTCTCTTTCATTAACCAAGGAAAGCATTAGCAAGAGCGAGCTTAATGAAAATAACTGGCAATCGAACTATGAACTATGAACTTCAAAGAGATAATTTTTTACGATCTCCGTCACCGTACTACGTTATTGTAATTTATCTTCCTTTCCACCTAAGCTACTCTTCTATTTCTTGATTAAAAAAAAATACGTTGTCTATCATAAGGATAAGATTGAAAAAATATAATATATATGTGCTTTCTCTTGGACATGAAACTAAATTAATTTAACGATTATAGGAACATCTATGGGTCGTAAACGGTGGTGGCGTGGAGGCTCGGAGCTGTTGGTACTTTTCGTCCTTTATCACGTAATTCTGGGTGAGGGTGACGTTGGTAAGTACGAACGATCTATGATTATTCTACCAATCAAGACAATTTTTCTTTAAAGAATATTGGATAGCTGAAGAACTACTTTATAGATTCTTTAAAACAACTATAAAATAACAAATTCAAATAGGTTTGGTATTTTATTATTACCGAAATTTGGACGTTTTACAAGATATTTACAAATATTTTTAAAACAATATCTTAAAATTATTACTTCATAGAAGATGAATTTTTGCTCTCACAATAACTGCTTTATTCGATTATACTACACCGTTAGCCCCTTTTTTATGCTATTATAACCCACGTCAGATTTTCCTTCTCTATCATGCTGCAAAATTAATAAGAGCATTAACAAGAGAAGAACATTAGATATTAAAACGCAGCTACGGACTGAAAGTGCAAAGGGGATAAATGAAAATTCTTGATTTCATATTTTTCATACCTCCGTTTGGAAAAAGTTGAGTACCATATTTTCATGTCGACCTTTTATTGCGACGTGATCGATAGTTCTGTGAAGATTTCATTTCTTCGGTCAGCTTGTTCTATCTTCCCTTCTCTTCCTCTGGCGATAAAAAACGTATCTGCTGATGGATATATCTCGGAAGTTAATTTAATACCATGGGAATAAGATGATATGCCAATATTCTGCTAGGAAAGTTCTTTTATTAAAAATTACGCAATTTTTATAAAGAGTCGATGATACTATTATACTGTCGTATTATTATATCATAATATTTATTATTAAAATTTGTTAATTATATTTGATGTATCGTACATACATATATTATTTATATCGTTTTTATATATTTACAAATACAAAGTTTATTCCAAGAAATTCAGCAGATTTATTAAAATTTCAATAATAATGTGCGAAATTATTATCACAATCGTAACATTTCAGACAAGAGTTTCATATGCCTGTGTGTACAATTTAGTTATTGATTAACGAATACTTTCCAGGTAATTTCTAGACGCTCAAAGATATCTCTTTCAAAAGGAAAGCAATTAAGGACATTTTAAAGTTAAAATTAAAAAAGTTCACCACTGAATATTTTATATTTTATAATCATTCAGATACCAGAAACTGATTACAGTATATTTTATTACGTTTTGAAATCTTGTTATTTTATTTTTTCGAGATTCAACGTTTGAGAAGTTTGAACATTTAACGATTGAATAAAATTTACAAAAATATTCGAGAATAACTCAATGGGCAAATACAAACTTGTGAGTCGTGAATTGTTACGACATAATGAAAAATACACTAATGCTACTCGATTTTTTCTAACATTAGAAACTCGGTTAATTCCTTTGCCTCTTCTAAGGAAAGATGATGGTAACATAAAAGTCCGTGAAATTTATTTGCATCTGCTTAACTTCTTCCACGGTGCAACTCGCAACAATTCAATTTACCAGTAAAGTTCATTCGAGCATTCCTTTTCTCTTTTTATTCGAAGCAAGAGTTCTAAAATAACGCGATTAACACATTCTTCGAAATGCCAACGAAGCGATCGTTAAGCTTCAAATTCGTTTCACACGGGAAAATATAGCACCTGTCAGAATGACATACTTCTATCCAATCCATATTAGAATTATTAAAATGATCATCGTTTAAAATCTTCTACGAATATAAAGAAATCTGTTCAAGCGATTTCCTTTAATAAATAAAAAGAATTACCCTTGTGTCCTCAGATCTGCAAACAAAAATTTTCTATGAGATATCACGTTATCGAAGAGAGGAAAAAAGCCAAGAGAAAAAGAAGAAAATACAGGATCTAAGAGTTTCCACTCGATCGATCGCAAGAAGGGAAGGAAAATCAGCAATAGGATTTCTCCCGGATGGCAATCGCTTCTTCGATGTCTATTTTCTCCATCCAAGGGCCACGTTCGCGAAATTCGATTGCCATCGATTTTCTATCATTGTCTCCGTCGTACTTTTATACTTTCTCACCGTGACGACTGTTCGCATTAATAATAAGATACTCGGTAGGCAATGTTGTACAAACCTCTTTGGTTACCTCGCGACCTTGAAAAATTTGTTCCTTCACGAGGTGGAATTGAAAGGAGAAAAGGGAAAAAAAGGAGACGACAGGAGTTCGATTTTCGCCCACGAGCTCCCGGCGATTATCGAGCTGTACATCCCACGCGACCACCGCCTTTGCAAACTCGCTTCCTCTCTTTTGCCCTGGATCCATTTCCACCTACTAGTGAGACCCTCGAGCACCCACAAGTGCCATCCTCGTCATTCTCTTTGCCTTTCACTCTTCTCGTTGTCGGTTCAAAATTTTTTACTTTCTTCTTGCTTCGTCATTTTTGACGATTTTGCATTTTGCTTTGCTCCTTCAGCGTCGATTTCTCGCAGTTTTGGCCAGCACACTGGTATCTCTTCACTGTTTGCCTCTTTTCAAGGTGTTCCTTTGTTTACTTACCGTTACTACTTACCGTTTACTTACCGTTTACTTACCGTTAATATATCGTTGTTTGCTAGGCAACTATCATATTTCCTTGCTTTTTAATATTCTGTTACATTTTTATTTTATCCTTATTTGTTTCTTCGATCTTTTGGAACTATTTCGCTGGCTTCATTACGTGAATTTTATTATATAAAAGTACCTCAAAAGTACTTTTACATGAGTACTTAGACCTGACAAGTACGTTTCTTTTTATTATAGGAATCAAGAGTAAAAGTCCAACATATAATAGCCTCGAGATTTTAAGTCTATTGTAAAACAGATTTCAACGACATCTATTATAGAATTTCTAGGAAAAGATTTAACATTTTACACGAATTTTATCATATTTGTGGTAAAATATCAGTACTAGTATTGGTGAGTCTAGCTGATCAGCTAGAATAGAGTAATATTTATCGTTTCTGATATTAGCTAATTTCGTCGTTAATACTATAGAATTACATAATAGAGAAGAGGTATTCACGTTGCGAGATCAAGTGAGATGCTTTATTGACGGAATGTACCGTTTTTGTCCCATAATTCCTTTAAGAATAATTACTCACTGCCTATCCTACTATATATCAACACGTGCCATTGTTCGAAACAAAGTAAGGATGGATAGAGCGAGTAAAATAGATTAGTAGTTTCTCTTTGCTCTAGTACCACCACACACGCCAATTTATCAACTCCGCATAGTACATATGTTCTACTCTATCACTGGCACAGGTGCCTGCTTCTTACGATAATTAAGTATCATTTTTACCTAATTTTATTTAAATCGAGGTAAATTTAAAACGTCGAAGCAATACTTTTCTATCTTCTGAGTCGTCAAGTTTAGTGAATCTAGACAATTGGACATTGTCATTCTGTATATTTTATAATAAAATATCTTTTATAATTAAGAGAGACATCTGTTAAGCTTAGTTTTGCATAGTTAACGCAGTGACATTTACGGAGAAGCTCGATTTCGAAATGAAAGACAAGGGAAATGAAACGCTACCCGCCTGTTCAGTATTGCCTATTTAAGGAATAATGAGATCCTATCGGAAGAAGAAATTTAAGTCTTTCTCCACAGTTGAACAATGCTTGAAAATACTTTGAAATTATTTATATATACTGCAGTTTATAACTTAAAAATTACTGTTGCACTTTTGATAATCAAGATAATGTACAATTAAGTTCAAAAATTTAGTAATATACAATATTGAAACGATATTTGAAAATGCTATGAACGTATGTACTATAGAATGTATATTAAAGGCTTCGTCTTTTGCATTTAGTGTTAGACTTTACACGACTGATGTAACATAATTAATTATAATGTTCAAAGGTTTCTAACATCAAAGTTTCGTACAGAGTAAATACATTTTAATGGAATAAGATTAATGGGTAGATATTAACGTTTCCCTGTGGCACATTGACAAACGTATCTTCCTTTGATTATTCAACCCCTATCAAGGATTAAGCGACCGTACAGCTACGGAACGAAAGTGGGAAATGCTTGGTATTCTAATTAGTAAATACATTGCGATCTCAGTAGGACAACATGCCATATACTATTATGACGTAATCATTTACGTCAATCAGTTACGAACAGAAATAATAATGGTTTGTGACATTTTATTTACATCATTATGAAATGTTAATATATCCGGTTGTTAGTCGATGATCCAGGAAAATATGCTACAGATCTTTATATTTGAAGTTCGAAATTATATTTTTATCGCAATCACGATAGATTTTATAAAGTTTGTGAAAAATTTTTAAGGAAATTTATGATATTTTCCAAACATACTCTGACTCTAGGTTTAAAATTTGATAGCAATAATTATTTAAAACTTGAACTTGTTGATATATACTTTGTTGCTTCATATTGGGTTCAACAAGTGAAATATTTTATACGTAGTCATTAAGTTAACACTGTTGTAATTTATATGCAATATATTTTATAAAACACGTTAATTAAAGCCTCATCAGCCTCCTATTGATGCCTTTAAATCTGTTTCAGGGTGTCTGTTCAGCAAGAGCCTCTGTGATCCTCAAACAGAAACATGTTACAATGGTAATTATTAATTGAACAACGAAATATTCAATTTTGTAATCAACAGCACTTGATACGGAAAGCAGAGATAAAATTCGATTTCTCATTTTAATATTCCAGATCTCGCGTTTGGCAGATGTTTGCCGCTATACACTGACTTACCCGAAGAAAGCTATTATCAGTAAGTACTTATCGATACGAATCTTTAAAAAAAGGTTTATAATATAAAATACTTGCATTAAATATGTAAAATTTATTTTTTTGAAAGTCGGGCAGTAATCGTGTACTCTAATGATAAAATTGATAATTTTATAACAAATGTAAAATCGATCAATTTGATTCCTGAAGAGCTCAATCATGTTGAAATGGAAAATAGGAAAAATTTGTTTCGATAAATATTTTAGAGTGTTTCACGTTGATAGGTGGGAACCATAATTAATACTATATTTTATGAGAAGCAGTCCCTCTTTACTGTCTGACCACAAACTAACTACTCTACTTTAGCTTCGTGCTACAAAAATAAAATATGCACTACTGCTTGTCTAAGTAAAGCAGTTAACCTCGTGTTCATAAACTAAGAAAGCTGTTTAATTGAAGTTTATTAATTGTTCTCATTTTTTCTTTTTTTCCCTTAGATATAATTTCAATGTCGATGAATTGGAACTACTAAAACTGCAATTGGAGAGGCTGCAAGTCGGTGGATACAAGTGGTCCCATTCCTACACACAATGTATCATGCAACTGTCCTTGTACAATTTCCGCAAAGGGTACGATTTATATTATAAACAAAGCAAAGACAAAATTTATAACATACTGCACCAAGAAAAATTGTATATGAATGTGAATAAGAATTTTACTAAAAGTAGATTGTATGCTCGAAATGACTAATGACTGCTGAAGTCAATACATATTTGCTTTAACATCTTTTGATGTTTCTTCGAAATTTCTTGTGAGGAAGTACCTTGATCTTTGTAATCTTTAAAATATTTAGTA